TAAATAAATAACCATCATTACCCGAGAAAATTCAGCAACAACAAAAATAAAATTTTATAATATGTATGATGAGAAGAAAAAACCAAAGAAGAAATATTTCGTAAAGATCAAGTTGCCGGCAGGTTTACTTCTTGTTGTGTATTTTTATTTTTATTTTGGTGAGATTATTTTATTATCAATACAGCGATGATGATGATGATGAATGGTGAATAACCTGATTTTTTTGTTGTTGTTGTTGTTGTTGTTGATTGCACACTTACCTGGTTATAAAAAAAAAACTTTTTTCGATTGGAATGGTTTTTTTTACATAAAATTCCGTTGGAGAAAAAGTCGATGAGATTTTTATTTTCGGTCAGTTATTGTGATGTGTGATGTGTGTGTGTGTGTGATTGATGAAAATAAAAAAAAATTCAGTAGTCAATCAGTGGTAATCAAGGTGTGATTGTGTAAAAATAACCCATTGACCAGACTAACATTTTTTTTCGTTGTCTATTGAAACAAAAATTAAGCTGAATAAATGATGATACCAATGATGTCCTTCATCTTGTTGTTGTCATTGTCCGGAGAAAACAACAACAAAAAAAACCTTAAAGATTACGGTCATCATCATGTTGTTTTTTCTGTTGGAAAAAAAAATTTCACAAGTCTATTCACAATCGATTGAATAAAGTTTTGGATGAGGGGGAAAAAAAGAAGTGATTGTAAAAGAATTTTCTTATGAAATGTAAGGAAAACATTTTTTCTTTTATCGAATAACCAAAAAAAAAACAAAACTTGTTTCAATCGATTCGGTTTGGATACACACTCGCACACAATAACCATTGATAAACCTATCGATAATCGTTAACATCGTTATTATCATCATTATCATTGTGGTCAAATGTGGAAAAAAAAAGAAAACCTGAATCGAAATCAAAATTCTACGGATTCCATTCTATCCGATCGATCAATCAATCAATCAATTTATCTATTGATGATTATAATGATAATCTTTAGTCGTTTTTTTTTGAATGTCATCAATTAGATTTTTTTATTATTATCTATCATTATCGATTTATGAATCTGATTTTTTTTGAACACCAAAAAGTTTTCATCATTTGTAATTGAAAAGAACAGAGAAAAAAAAATGTCCTATCATCTGTCATTTTCTCTGTGTGTGTGAAAATAAATTCTGAGAATAAATGAAATGAGGTGAGAGAGAAAAACCTACAGGTATGCAGGTTTTATCTCCAAGATGTTTTTTTTATTTGTTCAAAATTGACACCTGTTCAATCATTTGTTTTTTTTTTGAATATCATTATTCCGGTTATTTATTGCGGAAACAAACATACAAACCACCAAACACCTTTAAGCAATTTTTTTTTGTTATGATCAATAATCGATTGTGATTGACGACCACCTTATACATTTTTCATAAGATGTCTAGGTAAACAAACCATGGTGTTTGATCGATTCGTAACGGTAAACAATAATGGAGAAGAGGAAAAAAATTGTAATGTTTGAAACGAAAATCTGTTTAATAATTTTTTTTTCCACGGTATTGATGTTAATTATTGATTTTTTCATTGAATTTAACTTAAATGATTGGCTTCTTGGAATGGAAAACTTTCAATGTATGAAAAAAAATTTACCTTTTTCAAAAAAAAAGTTTCAAAATTTTTTCTGACTAAATTTGGATCATTTTTTTCGAAACTTATTTTTTTTTCTAATTAAATCTGACCAATTAAATAATCGATTTTGACATCAAAATCTATGTGATAGGGACGACGACAAAATCCTACATTTTTTCTAAAAAAAGGCAAACTTGTTGTTTTTGTTTGTTCTACATTTATTTTGTTCCCCATTTTGGAAGAAAAATTCAATTTGCTGGAAAAAACAAGTATCATGGAGGGGGATAATGTTGATTTTTTTGACATTTTGACTTTTCAGGTTAAAATAGCCGTTTTTTCTATTTATTTTCCGATGCAAAGGTCATTTTGATCATGATAATCCTTTAAGCACTTGAACCTTGGTTAGATGTTATATTTTATGCGCGAAATATAGCGGTAAATGAAAATGGTTGGTTTAGCCTTGTGTTTTTCCTTCACCTTTTTTTTTCTCTTTCTTTCATTGGTTTTTCTTACACAATTTCAAATCAAAAAGAAACGGAAATATTCTAGGACATTTTTTTAATACATTTCAATCAATCATTGTTTGTTGTCCAGCCATGTTATTTCTGGAAATATTTTTGTCAGATTTGAATGATCAACAAAAAAAAAACACTGACCAGCAAAAAATATTTGTTTGCACGCAATTTTTTTGATGTTGATTACACATACTTTTCATCAATCATTCCATTTGGCTATTATTTTGAATGTCAAAATTTTTTTTTTTTTGGTCATTTTTTTGATTTGAAATGAGAAAAGGGCCATAAAAAAACTTGATTCAAAACCAAATAGCGAAAAAAACAGCAAAATAAAAAGAGAACAAGACTTGAAAGATTGAGAAAGAAACAGATCTTAATCTAGAAAAAAATCAAAGACATAAACACACATTACATAGACAAATATGGTTCCAGGATCTTTTTCAGTATGGATGAAATCCAATTTAATCTTTAGTTTTGTTTGTTTCAATATTATTTCAATGTTTTTTTTACTGTTCTGTTCTGTTTTTGATCAAAATGATTATCACGATGATTACACATAATCTCAATATGATATATTCAGGTTTTTCTTCTTCTTCTTTTGTTTTGTTTTTTGTTTTTTTTTTGCTTCAGTCGAAAGATTTATATAATTAGATATGTATCGTTTTTTTTCAAAAGGGAATTGGATTGATAGACCATTCATTAAATCAAAGCAAAGCCAGGCAAAAACAAAAAAAAACAAGAACAAAAATCATTTCTATTTGAACAGAAAAAAAACTAACAATTTCGTATTTCGTATTTCCAGGTTACGACAACAATAATCCTCCGTTGGAAAAGAAAATTTTGTTTGCCTAAATGACGAAAAACAAAAACAACTTTGGAAAGAAAAAGAAGAAAATAATTTTTTTGGATTCAACTGAACAACAAACAAACAAACAAACAATGAACATTTAAAGTTATTTGTACTAAATGTCAATTATGATCATTATTATGATGATTATGATGATGATGATCGTGATCCATAAGACACAATGAAACAACCAAATAGTAGCCACAGTAACAACTGAAAACTAAAAAACAAAAATCATTCAAGCAAAACTATTTGACCGTCGATTCTATTTTGTGTCTGTTTGTTTTTTTTGTATGCAAATTCAATGAAATGAAATGAATGAATGAAAATTATCATAATGTCCATAACGGCAACCATCATCATCATCATTACAGTAGACGCCTCTTTATTTTATTTAAATTTTTCCATACATCAGTTACCTTGTTCATCATAAACACAAGAAGAAGAAGAAGAACAAAAAAAAAGGAAAAAGAAAAATTCATTTTCTTACCTGTAGTTATTGTTTTTTTTATTTCATCATCATCCACATCAGGTCGCTTTCATTGAAAAACAGTAGGAAAAAAATATAAAATAATAAAATGAAACCAAAGTTCATTTACATATTATGGTTACCATTATCATCATTATGGCTACTATTATTATGGATATTGTTATTGTTATGGCCATTTCCAGATGCTGTTGTTGTCTATGGCCATCAAATAAATAACAATAATAATCCAACAACAGGTGTCGATAATTCTGTTAATGTTGAATGTCCATTATCATATTCAATCGAATTGATAAGTAAAAATCGATATTTATCGATTGAAACAAAAAATATTACATTTATAAATGAAAATGCTGATATATATTTTACAGTATTTTTACCTGAATTTGATTGTCAATTGAATACAATCAAAAAACGTGATTCATTAATCTATTTAAATGCAATAAAATATGCATTAAATTTATTAAATAATCATCAACAACAACAACAAACATCGAATGATAATAATCAAACATTATCAATATTGAATCTTTTTCCATTGTTTTCATCGTTAATGAATAATAATAAAAATCAAAATGGAGTGATAAATTCCAAACAACAAGTCATTTATGGTGCTAAAATTATTTTCATCAATGATTTTGATAAAAATGGTCAACAACAACAATCAAACATTGATCATGTTGAACATTTGGTATGTTTTTTTCAAAAATTTTTCTAAATTACATTTGAAAACATGAAATTTTCTTTTGAAATTTTTTTTTCCTCTCACAAATATAGAAATGTGTACCTGTTGAACAAGCCATTACTATAAATAATGATGATAATCGGGAAAAAATTTCAACAACAACAACAACAAAACGAACAACAATCATACAGGATTTAGCATTTATTGATGGTGCACAAATTTTCGATAAAAACAATAAAGAAGCATTGGATAAACATATACCAATCATACCATTAACAACATCCGAATCAATTTTGACCGCACCATTTCGTGCCAGTTTAATTATCAATCTACTTGATATACTTGAATGGAAACATTTTTCAATAATCACTTCACGTAATGAAGATTCATTATATATTGTAAGTATATTATTGATGTGAATATTTTCAATCAAAATCATTGGCCATCATCATCATCATCTTCCATAATCAATATTTTTCATTATTTTTTTTCGAATGTTTAATAGGTCAAAATTCTAGGTCAATTAACACATAATGAACAGATTTGTATTAGTGATATATTAGAATTGCCAACAATCAATACTGAATTGGATGATAAAATTATTTGGTCACAATTTGAAAATCGTCTTTATACATTTATTAATGGTATATTTCATCCAGCTAAACGAATACCAATATTAATTATTTCAAGCGATCAAAATGAATTGATACATTTAACAACGATTTTATCGGAAAAATATGATAAACAATTACATAATTATCAATTTTTCTTTACAATTATACCATCACCGGAATTATTAATTCAATTAAAACAACTTGCACAATCAACAAAAATATTAACATTAACATCAAAACTACCTAATGTACCATTAATGAAAGAAACAAAGGTTAGTTTTGAATATTTTTCCTCATTTATCATTTTCAATATGATTCAATTGATTGATTGATTGATTGATTATCATTTTCATCCATAAATGTTAACTCTTTATTTGAATGTTTTAATTATTATTTTTATTGTTTTGTTTTTTGGTTTAAACTTGTTTTACACTAGGATTGTTTCACTATCAATAATAATCAAAATTTTGATAATGATATTTGGAAAAATTTGCTTTCATTTTCACCAATACGTTATATTGTATTCATGTCTATAGCACTTAATCTTGCACGTAATGATATTTGTGTCAACAATAATACAACAACAACAACAATAATAGACAATAATTTTTGGTGCGATGATCTAATACAATTTGAACGAAAATTATTTTTCAATTATCTAAGTGATCTTGAAGATAAAGTTGAAATGCCTGTTATGAGTTTAAGTTCAATTGATAAATTAGGATTATATAAAGATTTATTATTATATAATGGAAATGAATTTAAATTTATTGATTCAGATTATTTATTAGATCAAAGTAATTGTAATAATAATAATGATTGTCAATCATGTATTAAATTTCGTCAATCACGTACACAGGCAATGTTGGATGATGAAAATATTGATGATAATGATGATGATAATGGTATGACTATTGACGATGGTGGTAGTACTAGTAATAATGAAGATTTAAATAACAATAACAATCATAAAACTAGTCACGAAAATTTAAGCCAAAATCAAAGACAACATAATCATCATCATCATCAAAATCGATACCCGCAGACAAATTCCATAGTTAATGATTTGAAAGAAACTAGTAATAGTAATGAAAATGAAGAAATGTTATCAAATGAAGATGTTTCAATGATGCATGTTGAAACATATGAAATTACACTTGGTCTTTTACTTCCATTACATAAAATTGGTAATTCAATATTAGATTGTTCAATTGAATTAAATTTACCGGCATATTATATTTATGAAGCATCAAAATGGATTGTTGAAAAAATTAATCAAAATAATTATTTAATACCTGGTATTGAAATAAAATTAGAATTAATCGATACATGTTCATCACCATTTTATGCAACACAAGAATTAGCACATTTAACTAGTTCGGATGCTAAAGTACAACCAATTGCATTTGTATCATCATTACCACGTGATCATTATAAACAAATTGTTGAATTTGTTTCATCAATCAATTATACATTGATTGCAACACAAGATTTATCGATAATGGATTTTCCATTTGGTCCAAAACATGGTATCCTGCAAACAGCAACAACAAGTCAATCATTGATTAAAACAACAATAGAACAATTAAAATATTTTGGTTGGCGTTATGTATCGATAGTAATCGATCCGGATGATTTAGTTTCATCGGCAATGTTTCATCATTTTCAAGAAATGGCTATACAGGAAAAAATTTGTTTCATATCAATCGAATTTATCGATAGTAATAATGGTGGTAATACTACCGTAAATAAATTGATCGAAAATCATAAAAATGGTGCAAATGTTGTTATTCTTTTCATCAATTATATTAATACAATCAAATTAATGCAATCATATCGATTGAATAATAAATTTAATAACAATGAACCAAATTTTAATGGAAATTTACATTTTATAATTGTACGTGATCAAAATCTTGAACTTGTTTATGGTTTTGAAGAAGAGTATTTAGGTTCTATTTTTATACGCGAATCGATTGGCAATATAAATCATTTTGATAATCATTTTTTGGATCTTGTTTCGAATCCATCATCATCATCATCATCATCAACAAAAGTAAAAGATAAAATGTTACATCAATTTATACAACAATGTGGCATGAATAGTCAACAATGTTTACGTACAATTTCATCGTTTGATAAAACGATCACGACAAATACAATGCAGGCAATTTTATCTATTGTTGGAGGTTTGTCTATTCATCAAATTTTTTCTTTTTGTTGTTGTTGTTGTGAATATCTTTGAACAATTTTCCTCTAATTTAGTTTATTTTTTGCCTTTTTATAATATTTTTTTTTGTTGATTGATCATTTTCTTTCTATTTTTCCCCCGTTTTTTTTAAAAAAAGGTTTCGCACGAATGCGTAATCAAACCTGTGCAAATGAAAAAGGAATCTGTAATGAAATGCTTTATGCTGATTTTCATCGTAATCTTCTCAAATATATTCTTAATACACGTTCAATGCGTATCGATTCAGAAATGGATAAAAAATTTAAAAGTGAAAATTTTGATATATTTGAATTTGCATCCGATGGTTCATCGGCTAGAGATATTGAAATACTGAATTTCAAACATGATCATTCGAATGGTTTTTTTCGTTTTGATAATGTTGCATTATATAATCATAATCAACAGGCATTGATTAAAAATCCAAATGTACGTTATATATTCTATAAGTTTAATGGTTTCATTAATGGACATAAAGAATATAATGAAACTGAATTTATTGGTTCGGATTGTATAAATCTAAAAAAATGTATTCATTGTGAACCACAAAGTCCGGAATTTATTTATATGCCATCATGGGATAATCTTATTGTTAGCGGTATTTTCGATATACATCGACATTCATCACAAAATCCATTTATTTGTGAAAGAAATGAAACAATTTTTGATAATATACAAAATGTTGAAGCATTCATATGGACAATCGATTTGATTAATCAGGATACAAATATTTTACCCGGTGTACATCTTGGTACATTAATTTTTGATACATGTTCATCATATCAGAAAATTTATCGTGATGTATCAAATTTTTTAAGTAATTCATTATTACTTGGTGATTATAAAGTACAGATACCAAATTCCGAATCATTAGCCGGTTTTATTGTTGATGGTAGTACAACAAAAGTTATTGATTCAGTATTAGATTTAACAAAACCATTAAATATGACTGTATTGGCAACCGATGCACGTGAAATTAAATATAATGATATTCGTCATTATCCACAATTTCTTGGTTTTTCATTACCAAATAATATATATGTTGATGCAATTATTAGTTTTCTGAAAAAATATTCATGGACATATGTTTCAGTATTATATGAAAATAATAATTTCGTTACCTATCGTCATGTTGATGCATTTTCATATTTTCAACATAAAGCACAACAAAATGGAATACAAATTGCAACAAAAGAAGCATTCAATGAAAATAATATTCCAAATTCAATTAAAAACCTGAAAACATTTTCACAAATTGGATCACGTTTATGTATTGTATTTTTATCACCGGAAAATCTTGGAAAATTTCTTGAATTTAATGAAAAACAATCAGACAATAATAATCGATTACAATCATATGAAATAATGTTTGTTACGATTGATTCACAAAATGTACTGCAAGAATTTGCTCGACAACAACCAGAATCACAAACAATGATAAATGCTATAAGTTTAGGACCAGATGAACATATTATAACCGAATTTGAAGAACATTTTTTTGATTTATCTTTACAAAATAATCAGAAAAATCCTTGGTTTGTACAATATTGGGAAAAAGTTAACAATTGTAAAGGTTTTAATTGTAATAAAATTCAGACAAATTTACGAATGAAAAATTTAACAATAAGTTCACGTACAACCAATATAATACATTCGGTTGTAGCTATAGCACATGGTCTTGAATATCTTCGACGAAAACTTTGTCCCGAAAGTTATAGCGGTTTATGTCCGGAATTTCATTCACATGTTCGACAAGATTCACAAATGATTTATAATTTTATTAAACAAAATGGATTCACCAGTCTAGATGGAAGTCAATTTCGTTTCACACCAAAATCCAATTATCTTGTTGGAAATCTAAATATATTTCATCTACAACGACATCATAATATGCTCATGTGGAACGAAATTGGTCGTTTTGATTATGAGAACGGTATACAAATGGGAAAAATGAAAATCAAATTCAATGCTATGAATGGTACAACCATATCATTTATGAAATTAATTTCTCTTTGTCAAAATTCGAATGAATGTGCTGCATTGAATAAGATGAATCAAATAAATCAAACATTATTACCATTGGTACCGATAAAATTAGCACAGGCAACAATTGCATTATTCATACCATTACATAATGTAGAACGATCATCAAATGGCGTGAATTATACCTGTGGCCATATTAATCCAGGTAATGAGCCATTTACTAATGTATAACATGTTTTTTTTCCAATCTAATTTTTATTTTTATTACTATTATATTCAAAATAGATATATTTGAAAAATTTATGGCCATCTATTATTCACTTAATAGCATAAATAATAAACTTCAACAACAACAACAGCAACGACAATTGTCCGGTGAACCTTCATCTCTATCAACAAATCTAAATATTCTATTGCTTGATCTGTGTACATTGAAAGAGGATAAATTGGCTACCATTTTGTCTGATTATAATTTTACTCCTAAAGTTGTTGCTGTACTTAGTTTAGCTGGTGAACAAAATTCAATGATCAATAATGATGGTAATAGAAATGGCAATTTTAATGATAATAATGTTGTTCATCAACTTGGTCAACGTTTTAAGAACCAGTTTTTAAATCTTCTTGGTGATTATAATCCTTTTGTCTATAGTTTTCATCAATCATCAAAAAATGAGAAACAAAATTTTTTCTTAACAAACAATGAAAATAATGTAGCCGATTTTGATATGAAAAAAAATCATCAAATGTTAACATCACGTATGATTATTGATCTTTGTGTACGAATGAAATGGACGACAATCAATATTGTTTATTCAAATGAATTCATTCGTAATTATTTTCAATTTGAAGCAAATAAAATGAACATTTGTGTGGATAAAACTATACAGATTACCGTTAAAGATATTGGACGATCAATGTTTGCAAATGAATGGCAATCATTTACACAAACACTTGATACAAACATCATAATTTTATTGACCAATACGGATATTAATGAATTTCTTATAAAATATTCATCTAAATATATTTTAGATCGTTTTATATGGATTGGTGATAAATATCTAAAAACAGCAGCAACAAATTCATTAAAAAATTATCGAAAAACTATTGAATATGGTATTGTTTTGAAACGTTATCAAAAAGATCATTCAATCGATCAAGAAATGACCGTTGCATTAGATGATTTATCAAAATATTTTAATATTAATAATCAACGTTTAGGAAATAAAATGATCAATGATTGGTTACATGAATATTGGCAAAGAAAATTTCATTGTTCACCATATACACAGAAACATGATTCAAAATGTTTTGATAGTAAATATGCCCGAAAAGCTATGTTGAACATTAAAGAGATTAAACGATTAATGGATTTTAGTAAAACATTAAGTACATCGATAATAAAATTCGTGACAAATAAATGTTTAAATGTAACTGTAAATCAACAACAACAATTTGATGAACTTTGTCTTTATAATTTTCATTTACGAAATGAACTAAAACAAAATATTATTGAAGATTTAAGTAATAATAATTATTTTCTTAATGATTATAAACCAATCAATTCGGATAATCATTATGAACTTGAAATATTATCAAATCAAGCAAAAAAAATTAATCTTTTTAATTCATTCAATTGGTCAAATATTTCGGATTTTTTGTCTACAAATATTAATGGCCATAGCCATTTTATTAATTGTCGTACAAGTTGTAATTATTGTACATTACAATTATCACAAAGTAAAAATAAAAGTGTTAATATGTTATTTTCCGGTAAGTTCCTTTTTTTTATTCGATTTATGATACTGAATATTTTTACATTCGTATTTTCATTTAGATACATTACAATCATCATTGATTAGTGAAAATAATCTTTATCGAACATGGTATATTGTTCTTTCAATTTTATCAACATTAGGCATTATTATGGTATTGATATGTGTCCTGTATTTTATTCTAATATTTCCTGTTGCATTGGGCACCACTATTATTGGTTATCAAATTCTTGTTGGATTATTTTTTTGTTTTCTAATCAATTTTGCCTATCTATTACCAATTACACATACTGTTTGTTGGGTTCGTCAATTTGGTATGTTTTCTTCTTTTTTTTCAATTGACATTTGATGTTAATTAAATGTTTTTTTTCTCTTAATATCAGGTTTACCATTTGCCTATTGTATTGTATTGAGTGGATTTTTTGTCAAATCCTATAATTATTGGTGTCAAATTTTATTGAAAAAATCTACAACAACATTACGATATAATACACCATTTGCACAGATTTCTTTATCATTGATATTTGTTATAATGCAATTAATATTAACATTAATTACAATGCATCAATTACAGATTGGTTCATCTTTCGATTCATTATCAACACGTTGTACATTTATCGATACAAATCGTTTTATTCTATCACAACCACAATTTATATTGCCATTATCATTATTAGTCATATTATTTGGTTTTATCATATTTTTTACGATAAAAACATTTAATAATCAAGAATCAAGATGGATTTTTGTTTGTAGTTTTATAACCGCTATCATATGGATAGGATGGCTTACCACAATAACGTTACGTATGTGTTTATTATTATTATCATTATGAAAGTTTCAATTCTAATTTCTTTTGATTATAGATTTACATGAAAAATTCCTATTAACAATAATGGCCAATCTGATCAATGCATATATTATTATAATTTTTCTTTACATTCGAAAATTGTATTTATTTTCGAAAATTTCCAGAAAAATTCTCAAAGAACGTCGTATGAATATGGAGGTAACATTACAAGGTGAACCATTTGCCGATAGTCGACAACAATATGGTGGTAAGTTTTTTTCTTTAAAGAATTTTTCTCAAATTTGAATGTTTTAATACAATTTTAATTTTTGAAATTTTTTTCAACATAGCATTCAAAACCTGTACCGATCATATTTCATGGAGTAATGTACAAAATCGTATCAATTTTCGACAAGCAACAAGATCACCATTTGAAGGTGATCAAGAAGATAATATTAGTTCTTGCGGATCAGTAAAATCAGCCACATCATCACAGGTACAATGTCAAGAATTATATCCAATGGATGTTTATGATAATCAACAATTAAATAGTAATAGTAGTAATAGTAGTGGTGTATCATCATCATCATCAAGTAGAGAATCTAAAATTACTCAATCAACACGTTCAATATATGATCTGATTGATGATGAAAATATGAAATGATTCATCCATTAGTATTATTCGAACAAAAACATGATAATCGTTTTCATTTTTTTTCTGAAACAAACAAACAAAAATCTGGTCCTCATCTGTTTCTGGTCATTACCCCATGCAATCAGGAAATTTTTTTAAAAATATGTTTCCTTCATCAACTTTTGAATGCCATTTCATTCATTCATTTAATTTTTTCTGATGTAAAAAAAAAGAATTTTTCATCATTTTCCATTCATTTATCAACCGGAAAACCTAGTGATTTTGAAATTTTTTTTTTGACTGATTGATTCACCTTTGAATTGTGAATAGCAAAACAATATATATAGCTATTTATATACTCTTTTCTTTATTTAATTTTTTTTTTGTACTTTTGCTCTTTCCTTGAATGTGATAATTTTATTGTATTTTTTTTTTTAATTTCATTGTATTTTTGGTGTGTGTTTTTTTCCCACTGGATTTATATCCGTTTTTTTTCAATAAAAATGATTTTTTTTCTTTCAAACTTTGATTTATGTCCAAACCTTGATGGTTGATGAATTTATTTATTTCATTTGATGATGATAAAGATGATTAAATTTCTAATTGATCATGATCGAAAATTCTTTATCCATTACTCAATTGTAGTTGTCACATTATCTTCCTTATTATTATTATCACCCTATACTAATATGATGATGATGATAATGATTTTTTTTCTTTGTAAATGTGTCAAAGATAGGAATTTAATCAAAAGGATAAAAAGAAAAATTTGCTAATGATGTTGTCTATTAATGATATCATGCCCTTGAATAATTTCAATTTTTTATCCAACCAAATTATATATTTTGAAAGAAACATAAAAAGCGCCATATGTAAGGATGTACAATTATTATTATTATATGCATCAATGGATGTGGTATGTCAATGTCGAATGATAATTATGATTTGATTTTAACCCGATGATGGATGGATGGATGGATGGATGGTATAAACAAAATCAAAATCAAATGAATATTTTAGTAAACATTATGGATTCATTATGTTGTTGTTTTGGTTAAACAAAATGACAACTGTATGTGTTTCTTGGGAAAAAAATTGAAAAACAATCAAAAATTTTAATTATCTACTTTGCATTCGAAATGTGAACTTTGAAATGTTTATTCTTTCAGTTATGTAAGTGTAATATAAAAAAAAATTTCAAAATTCATTGGAAAATTTTTTGTTTTTTTTACTAACACAAACATTACCCATTGATCTTATTTCAACGTTTCAGTGTTTTGTATTGAAATTATCATCAGTTTTTTTTCATGTGATCTTCAATTTTTAAATGTAGGATTCTCATGTTTCCAAATCATCATTCAACTGTGTGTGTGTGAAGAATCAAAACAATTTTTTTTCCAGCTAACAGACAAATAATGCACGATATTGCCATTGTTATCGATTTTTTCTTTTCTCTTTTTGCCTCATCGATAATGAAATATTTTCCAATCTCATTCTCAATCACATAATAGAATGATGGCTTTTGTTTCACCTCATTCCCTTCCAAAAATTTTTTTTCATTGTAATAAAATGAAATTTTTTTCATCCTTTGTTTGGTGATAAAATTACATTTAGTCGACACTTCAACAACTTTTTTTGCATACACGTGTAAACAAACAAAACGAATCAATTTTTTTTACCTATTTTCTGTTGTGTCAATCAATCAATCGATCGATAATTTTGATCATTCTGTTTCGGTTGAATCATCATCATTCATTAATCAAATTAATAAATAAAAAAAATTATCGATTATGAATTTACATGCATAGATTGATGATATGTGTCAATATTATTATTATTGTGAATGTAAAATCAAAATTACAACAATTAAACAAATAAAATGTGAAATCAATTTCTGAAAAAGAATTTCATTCAATTGACGAAATATTTTTTTTTTTGTTTGATTCTTTTTTTCTCTCTCTTGTTTTCTTCTGTTATTTTTATTATTATTCATCATTTCATCGATTTACTTTACATATTTCAAATAAATTCATACCTGTCTGTCGGTTGATTGATTGTTTTTGCATCGTGAATCAAGTACAGCAAACAAACAAACGAAAAAAAACCCTGTGAAACCCAACGAAAAAAAACCCATATTGTTCATCATCTTTTTATGGTGATGATTTATTCTACTTTTCATCTTTTCTGTTTTCTTTTCTTTACATTGCTTTTTTTCCATAGAAAGAGTGAAACAAACAAAAATATTGTTTGTTTGTCTGTTCTAATATAGATTATAAACATTTACATTTATTGCTTTATGTCATTTTTTTTCAAAAAAAAAAAAAAAAAAAAAAAAAAAAAAAAAAAAAAAAATCCCCAAAAAAACAAACCCACCCCTTTTTTCCAAACAAAAAANATCGATAATTTCGATCATTCTGTTTCGGTTGAATCATCATTCATTCATTAATCAAATTAAGAAAAAAAAAATTATCGATTATGAATTTACATGCATAGATTGATGATATGTGTCAATATTATTAATTGTGAATGTAAAATCAAAATTACAACAATTAAACAAATAAAATGTGAAATCAATTTCTGAAAAAAGAATTTCATTCAATTGACGAAATATTTTTTTTTGTTTGATTCTTTTTTTTCTCTCTTGTTTTCTTCTGCTATTTTTTTTATTGTTCATCATTTCATCGATTTACATATTTCAAATAAATTCATACCTGTCTGTCGGTCGATTGATGTTTTTTGCATCGTGAATCAAGTACAGCAAACAAACAAACGAAAAAAAACCCAGTGAAACCCAACGAAGAAAAACCCATATTGTTCATCATCTTTTTCTGGTGATTTATTCTACTTTTCATCTTTTCTGCTTTCTTTACATTGTTTTTTTTCTACATAGAAAGAGTGAAACAAACAAAATATTGTTTGTTTGTTTGTCTGTTATAAAAGATTATAAACATTGACATTTATTGCTTTATGTCATTTTTTTCAAACAAAAAAAAAAACAAAATTGACCCACAAAACCAGATTTTTCAAATGATGAGGAAGTTTTTTTCTTTCCTATTTCAATCTATTTTCTGGCTTTTATCATCATCATCATCAAACATTTGCATTTTTCATCATCATCTGTGAATCAAATATGATTTTTTTTTCAATTTAAACCAACCTGTATTTCATGATTTAAATTTGTTTTTTTTATAAATATTTTGAATAACAATAATGATGGTCAATTGAATTGCAAATTTTCGTTTTCCCATTTTACCAATAATTTTGTTCAAATTTCTTTTTTTTTTAATTCACTCAATTTGATTCGACACACACACACACATCGTATACAATATCGAATGTAATCAATTTCATTTGTGAATTATGAATGATATTTGTTATATTACTTATGATCCGTTTCCGATTACGGATCAATCAAATGAATCGGATTTTATGAATGCAATACAACAACCGAGTTATCGATGGATAAACATAACCAAACCATTAATATTTAATCTAAAATTATTGTTCAACATTAATCTCAATGATCAAGATCATCATCAACAACAATTATTTGATATTAATCTGAATTTTTTACGAATAATTCTATGCTTTCATCATGAAACTAGTTTATTAGGATTATTTACAATTTTTCTTTCGTATAAAATTATTTCATTTTTAATAAAAAATTCAAAATGTAATGAATCAATAGTTGATGAAGAATATTCCATCACTGATGAATATAAATATGATTCAAACAAAAAAAATTCGTTCAATATGAATGAATTTAGAAAATTCAAAGATTCATATCAAACAACTAAATATTATAAAATTAAAAAAGTAAGCTTTTTAAAAAAACGTTTTAATTTAAATTATTAATAATCAAATTATAAATAAATCAGATCTTTGCGGGTATTATTATCTTTACATATCTGATTGAAATTTCAATAATTTTATCATTGTATAAATATGATATTTTTGGTGAAGCATTACAATATTTTTGTTCAAATTTTTTATCATTTGTTTGTTCGGTAAGTTTTTTTTTTTGAATGTTTATTAGTAAAAAGTAAAATTTAACTATTTGCAATTTCATCTTTTTCTATTGTATCAATAGCTATTTGTAATCTATTACATGTTTGCTAATCCTGCATTGAATCGACAACATCAAAAATTTATCTGCTTTTATTGGTTAATATCAATGTTAAATTTTTTCTGGAATATTTTATCCATATACATTCAAATTGATAATAGTGATTATTCAATATGGAAATTATGTTCAAAATGTCAATGGCATTTACCTAATTTTCAATATCAATCATATAGTGAACAGGAAAATTTTCATCATCAAATTATTATCTCTAATCATAATGATGATCATGATGATTTTCATCAAAAAATCAATATTATTTGGTTACATTTCAATTATTTTTATGCAATATTATTTTCGATTCAATTTTTCGGCTGTTTTTTAACCGATTTTGAACATTCGTCTTTCGTACATCCCGAATCAAATACAACATTATTTGGTCGAACAATTTTCATATGGATGAGTCGTACAATTTTTCGTGGTTATCGTCGACCATTAACTACTGAAGATATCTTCAAAACTTCAATACCTGTTGAACATTTAGAACAAAACTTCTTTCGCCGATTGATTCGACAATCGAATGAATATTCAAAATCATTTAAATTGATTAAAATTTTAGTCAATCAATTTGGTGGTGAATTTCTTCAAATTTCATTCATTAAATTAATACCAACATTGATTACATTTATTGGTCCATTATTATTGGATCGTTTGATTAAATTTACAACATCATCGATGATTGAAAATCAACAACCACAATGGCATGGATATTTTTATGCAATCTCTATGTTTATATTGTTTGTAAATGAATCAATATTAAATTCTTATTCGGATTATCATCTAATGGTATTGGCATTGAAAATACGTTCATGTTTAATGGCTTCTATTTATCGACGTTTAATTTTGGCAAAAAATATCGATATCATAACGAATACGCAAGTAAAACAAAAAGAAAATCCAAATACATCTGGACAGATTGTGAATCTTATGTCCACCGATACACAACATATATTTGAATATATAAAAATTGTCAATCTATTCTGGATTTGTCCATTGCAGATTATAATTGCTATTTATTTATTATGGCAACTACTTGGATATGGATCATTAGCTGGATTAGGTGTATTATTACTTTTATTATTAATCAATACGTTTATTGGAGCTAGAATACGATCATTACAAACAAAATTACTTGAATACAAAGATCGTCGAATGAAATCATTAACCGAAACATTAAACGGTATACGAGCAATAAAATTATATGCATGGGAAGAATTCTTTCATAAACGTATCGATGAATCAAGACGATTAGAATATTTAAATCTTCGTCATCAAGCATTATATTCAACAGCTATTGCATTTGCATTCATATCGGCACCATTTTTTATTGCACTTTCAAGTTTTTCATTGTTTCTTTACATTAATGCCAATACTGGTGGTCATTTAGATGCACAAAAAGCATTTGTATCATTAGCAATATTCAATATAATTCGACGTCCAGTAGCTTTTATACCACAATTAATTACAAATTCGATGATGTTTTCAGTTTCTTTAAAACGTATCAGTAATTTTGTCATCAATAATGATTATGTTGATACAACATTATCAAAAAATGATATTAATAACAATAATCCCTACCAGATAGCGATATCATCAATTTCATCGACAATGATCAAAATACCAACAAAAATTTCATTACAAAATTGTCGTTTTACTTGGTTACAACATATTGGATCATCATTTCGTTTGGATAATATTGATATTTGTATTAATCAATCAAAATTATGTGCAATAGTTGGTTCGATTGGATCGGGTAAATCATCATTATTGGCAGCCATTTTAGGTCAGATGAATTTAAAACCAAAAAATTTATATCAATGTATTTGCCATGTTAATGGAAAAATTGCATATGTTCCACAAAATTCTTGGATTCATTCTGGAACTATTCGTGAAAATATTTTATTTGGAAATGTATTTGATCCGATTAGATATTGGAAAGTTATTGATGCATGTGCATTGTTAGATGATATCAAACAAATGATTAATGGTGATAAAACTTTGATCGGTGAAAAAGGTGATAATCTGAGTGGTGGTCAACGACAGCGAATTTCGTTGGCACGAGCTGTTTATGCTGATGCTGATATTTATCTATTAGATGATCCATTATCTGCTCTTGATTCACGAGTATCTCGTCATGTATTTCGACGTGTCATTAGTAATCGTGGATTGTTAGCAAATAAAATTCGATTATTCACAACAAACAATATGGCTTTGTTGCCAAATGTTGATGAAATTTTTCTTATGAATAAAGGTTCTATTGTTGCTCGTGGAAATTATCAAGACTTGATTAATATGGAAAATGAATTTACTGAATTTCTTACCACTTATTTTTCATCAACCACCAAAGATCTTTCAACCGATAATCCTATTAACGATGATTATGAAGATGATGATAATAATCTGATTGTTGAAGAAGAAGAAGATTATGCTATTCTTGTTGAAATGGTACAACGATTAGAACGACAATTTGCTTCGTTTACACGTCGTGGTAGTATAATGCGAAAAATTTCTCTATCCAAAAATCATTCCGTTGAAAAAGAAATCAAAAATGATAGTAACAAAAAGAAACGGACGAATATTTTTACAAAATTTTCAAAAATCACACAGAAAAAAGAATCAGAATTGAAAATCGATTACAGTGAAACGATTACACGTACTGGTTCAATATCGTTTCGTATTTATTGGCATTATATTCGTGCTGTTGGTTTATTACCATTGTTATTGATATTATTTAGCTATACATTTGGACATTATTTTGTTGTTGTAACAAATCTGTGGCTTAGTTCATGGAGTAATGATTCAAAAATATCATCATCATCATCATCAAATAGTTCAGAAATAATTCAAAACAATTTATGGATGAATGATATGTTGATTAAAATGAAATTAATTGATCCATCAAAACCGATTAATCAATGGATTCGATTGAATGTATATGCAATACTTGGTTTTGGACAGACAATATTCATATTGATTGCAACTTTATTATTGAAATTATCCTGTCTTCGTGGATCACAATGGTTACATCAATCAATGTTATATCGTTTAATGCATGCACCGATATGGTTTTTTGATCAAGCTAATTCTGGTGCAATATTTAATCGTTTTAGTAAAGATATTGATTTAGCTGATACAACATTAATTACATCACTTCGATCATTTATGATTGAAATTTTTCGTGCCTGTGCATTATTTACTATTATTATTACTGGAACCGAATCACCTATTTTAATCTGTCTATTTTTACCATTGATTATTGCATATTTTCTTATCTATAAATATTATGTATCAACATCACGTCAATTGATGCGTATTGAATCAAAATTACGAACACCTATTTATCAACAATTTAATGAAACATATGCTGGTGTTATCGTTATACAGGCATTTGAACGTGTTGAAATGTTTTTACAAAAATTTTACAAAAATATTGATATGAATACAAGTGTATTGCATATGAGTATTGCGGCTGCAAAATGGCTTAGTGTACGATTAGAATGTTTAGGTAATCTGGTTGTTTTGATAACATCATTAAGTTGTGTACTACTTCGTGGAAAAATTTCACCAGGCATGGTTGGTCTTTGTATTACTAGTTCATTGACTATAACTGGTACATTAAATTTTCTTATAAGATCATCAATTGAATTGGAAAACAATATTGTTACAGTGGAAAGATTAGTTGAATATACTAATCTACCACAAGAAGATGAATGGTATCGAAAAGAAAAAAACAAAAACAAAACAATAGAGATTAAGAGGAAAAATTTCTTTGATTTTATCAAAAATTTTCTTAATTTTAAACAACAAAAATCAATACGAAATTTTCTTATTTCAGAAGTTATTTCCGCCCATTCAGTACCAATCAATTTAAGGCTTTGTTCTAGTAATCAAACTTATCAAAATCAATGGCCAACAGATGGTTCAATTTCATTTATTCAATATTCAGCCAGATATCAAAATTCATCAACATTATGTTTGAAACAGCTAAATCTTTGTATACCTTCGGGAACAAAAATCGGTATAGTTGGCCGAACAGGAGCCGGAAAATCATCATTTGCAATGGCTTTATTTCGATTGATTGAAGCCGAAACCGGTGAAATATTGATTTCAAATCGAAATATTCATGAACTAGGTCTGCATGAATTACGATCTAAATTGACAATCATACCACAGGATCCATTATTGTTTGCCGGTACACTTCGTAATAATCTTGATCCATTTAATCATTATTCAGATCAGCAAATAATTGATGCATTGAATAAAGTACATCTTGGTCATATGATTACAATGTTAAATCAATCAGTTGAAAAACAATTAAATCATTTATCATTTGGACAAAAACAATTACTTTGTTTATCACGTGCCCTGTTACGAAAATCAAAAATTCTGTTAATGGATGAAGCAACAGCCGGTATTGATCCGGCAACCGATCAATTAATACAGGAAACAATACGTTATGAATTTTTTAATTGTACAGTATTAACTATTGCACATCGTTTAAAAACAATTTTATCATATGATCAAATACTAGTACTTGATCATGGAAAAATTATTGAATTCGATACACCCAAAAATTTAATGTCCAATTCATCGACATTATTCTATAAAATGATGACACAATAATAATCAATTTGTGTTATTCAAAATTAAGGTAAATTTTTATTTAAATTTTCATTTATAAAAATTGATTTATTTCAACAAAATTTTAATCAAAATTTGTTTTGTTTTATTCAATCATCAGTGTTTTGGTTTTTCGGTTTCCAATTTAAAATGTCCAGCCGATTTACAATCTTTTAGATCTTTATCAAAAAATAATGTACCTGGACATAATTGTAAAAATGGTACATAATTATCGCAAAGATAATATGATTGTGGATTTAAACGACATGCAAAACGACCATTTTGTTTTGGACAAAGAAAACGTGGATGACTTGGTGGATGTGCTGTAGTTGCTGAATGTTGATCACCACCACCGCCACCACTACATAGTACAGATGACTGTTCGATTTGTTGGATGATAATCATGAAACCAATTATGGTCCATATAATTCGACCAAATGAATTGTACATTTTCAACGAAAAAAAAAAATTGTTCACTTTGTTGTTTCGATTTGATAATCACAATTTTGGACAAAAAAAGCAATGTTTTCGCTATGAAATCAATCGGATGGTTGTATGTCGACTTAAATAGACCAAGAAGAGAAACAAGATTTGTTTTTGTAATGATTTATTGACTTTTACAATTCAAACAACAATATTGATCATTGATTGACATTTTTATTTTGTAAATAAATAATTTTATTATTTTGTAATAAATTGACAAGCATGTAATACAACAGAAAAATGAATTTATTGGAATAAAAATTTATGATTTTTTGTTGAACGTTGATTTATGAATTACCATAATAAATCATAATCTTATTGCATTATTAAGTGCATGTTTCTTCATCTTCATTCCATCGTGTATTACCTGGACAATCTTTATGTACAGCTTCCCAATTTGAACAGATATAAAATTTATGTGGATCTTTTGGATCGGCAAAATAACCAAATCTACTTGGACATTCAAATTTATCATCTGGTTGTTCGGTTGTTGTTGGATGAACGGTTGTGGTAGGATCATCATCATTATCATTGGCGGCATATGATGAATGGACCAAAATGGCCAACGAAATAAAAACGATGATTATGTTGAATTTCATTTTCAAAAACAAGCAGAAAATATTGTAGTTTTTGATTTATTTCTTTTTTTTTGAGATTTTTGATTTATAATCAATGATATTTTGTTCGATCAAAATCAATATCTTATATATACTACTATTTTGGATTTTTGAATGATATCATTACGCAGTATATTTGCAATCATTTGCACTTAATTAATCAATTATCACTTATCATCAATTTGATGATAAAATATTTTACATAGTTTCATCAAACTCTCATCTTTAATTAAGAGAACAATATATTTAGGTTATTATTTTGCAATTTAATTTCAAAAAAAAAACAAGAACAAAAAATAAAGATAAAAATTGGATTAATTGTTTAATGTGACAAGATAAGAATCAATTAAGCAAAATGTTTTTTCTTTCATTTGATTACATTCATTATAGCTTAAATTATGGCCGTTCACAATCACTCAAATGATCGCAGTTCAAAATTATTTGACTCCATTGAGTGCCATTTGGACAGGTCATTTCATAGGCGATTCCATTGCCACATTGATAATACATCCAACAATTTTCATGTTCATAATATCCAGATGATTCAGGACATTGAAAGCCGCTTTGAGTTGTCGTTTCCATATCATCATCATTGATATTAGTTGTCGTTTCTTCTTCATTTTTAGAGGTTGTTGTTTCATTGTCTTGATCATCAGTAGTTGTTGTTTCATCTATATTTGGTATGGTTGTAATTTCATCATCATTATCATTCGATGTTGTGGTTTCATTGCCATCATCATCACCGTTTGATGTTGTCGTTTCATAGTCATTATCATTAGATGTTGTTGTAGTTTCATCGATATCAGGACGCTCACAATCAGTTAAATGATCGCAAGTCAAAATTGTTTGATTCCATTGAGTACCTTTTGGACAGGTCATTTCATATGCGATTCCATTGCCGCATTGATAGAACATCCAGCAATTTTCATGTTCATAATATCCAGACGGTTCAGGACATTGAAAGCCGCCTTGGGTTGTTGTTTCTGATTCTGTACTTGATTCCGCAGTTGTGGTTTCATCATCATTATCGTTTGTGGTTGTTGTTTCTTGTTCNATCATTAGATGTTGTTGTAGTTTCATCGATATCAGGACGCTCACAATCAGTTAAATGATCGCAAGTCAAAATTGTTTGATTCCATTGAGTACCTTTTGGACAGGTCATTTCATATGCGATTCCATTGCCGCATTGATAGAACATCCAGCAATTTTCATGTTCATAATATCCAGACGGTTCAGGACATTGAAAGCCGCCTTGGGTTGTTGTTTCTGATTCTGTACTTGATTCCACAGTTGTGGTTTCGTTGTCATCACCATTATCGTTTGTGGTTGTTGTTTCTTGTTCGGTACTCGATTCT